TTATACTATCAGTTATGCTTAGAATGCTATTTATGAAGACAGAGCAACTGCCTGTGTCCTCTTTTCCTATGGCTGGAAAAGGGTCTGTAAAACAAGATTGAGATCTTCATCAACTGCAAATAGCCATACACACCATGTATGGGAGGAGGCAGTGTAGGTAGAGTCTAGCTTGGAATCCTTGCAGTTACTTGCAGCATAACCGTAGGTGAGTTGCAAAACATATTTAAGCCATGGTTTCTCATCTGTAAACTGGGGATAATGTGTACTGTCTTGCAGGGTGATTGAAAAGATTTAAGATCATTTATAAAGTTTCTAAAACAGTGCTTGGCATATGGCATATCAATTATTGTCATTTTAATTCCTCTGTGGAATTATTAGATATAATATACAGTTGATTGTATTTTTGATATAATTGACTGGTTTCATAAATGTGACCTGGAGAAGATACCCAGGAATAGACATTAGATTTTAGTGGTATTCGGTAGTTCTGAAATACCACATACTGGATGGAGTCTGTCTTGATGATATTAGTGCAGTTTCTTACTTGAGGTTGGTCCTATTCCATGGGCCACATAATTTCTCCATAGCAGTGATTTTTTTAGAAGAGACATGGGTACCTGGGGGAACTTGAAAAAACAAACCAAAACACATACTGCCTGAGTCTCCATCTGCTCTGTGGTCAGCTATTTGGTCAAAGACATGCTTTGCTGTTTTATTGCATTTGGGACACCTTTGAGAATCTAATGTGGATCTTCTCTTTGGAGAAATGCATGGACCTCTAGTAAAGAACCCGTGATATGAAAGTTTCCCAGATATGAATTTAACAGCATACAGGATTTACCCCAGGATTTAGATAACTGGGCATACTCCATGAGTTACTTGGCCATGGTGAGATCAGGCTGTATTTGAAGAAGATCACATACTGTCACAGGTGCCAAGGAAAGAAGCCCAAAGAGAAAGGCCAGGCCTGAGATGGCTGTAATTTAGTGTATCTTTCAGAAGAGTTCCCTTTAGGAGCTCATCCCCTCTACAGCAGTAATTCTCAAGGGGTGGGGGCAGTTTTAAGCCCCCCCCCCACCCGGGACATCTATTACCCTGGAGACATTTTTGTTTGTCATAATGCAGGGTAGGGGGAATATGCTGCTAAATATCCTGCAGTGCACATGACAGCATCCAGCCCAAAATGTCAGTAGTACCAAGGTTGACTTGTCCTAGAGTCCAGCTGCTTCCTCCTAGATTGTGTTTTTCATTGGTAGTAGTATCACAGTGGGAGAGCCTGCATTTTTATCTATATATGTGTGATGTTTCTTGGTGGGTTTAGGAGGAAAGAGATGATGATGAGAAGGGTATGAAGTGAGTAAGCCAATCTGGTATTTCAAAGAACTTTCCCAGAAGTGTTGGAGGCTCAAAGAGGATTTCAGCTCTCCAATTGGCTTACCTCATGGTTTCACCTCAGAATTTGAATATGGGAAACTACCTTCCTTTTCCCTTGGGAGACTCATTGTTTTTTTCCTACCTCACTCTTGAACCTGTGACCTTTTGTCTGTTGCCTTTAAGAATTAAAAATCAAAATGATTTTTTCAAAAAAGTTTTATAGCTCCTATAAGAGAATTTTCTATTTTTACCCATCCCTCGGACCTAGCCCCGTATAGCAGGCTGAGAAATATGATAGGGAAGAGGAGAGGAATGTATTGTACTTAACCAAGTGGGCATTTCCTTTGTCTCCCATAAGGATTTGTCTGGTAAAGTGAGAGGAGGAAGGAATTATGCTGTGTTATTGCCCTATTCTAATGTTTGCCAATATGAATTGAACTCTTATTAATAGCCACCACCCATCTGTTAGTTTGTCATTCTGTGGTGATTTGCATATTGCTGTGATGCTGGAAGCTATGCCACCTGTATTTCAAATACCAGCAGGGTCACCCATGGTAGACAAGTTTCAGCAGAACTTCCAGACTAAGACAGACTAGGAAGAAAGGTGTGGTGATCTACTTCTGAAAATTAGTCAGTGAGAACCCTGTGGATCACAACAGAATATTGTCTGATATAGTGCTAGAAGATGAGCTGCCTAGGGTGGAAGGCACTCAGACTACATAGGGGCCTAGCATACTGGTGATTGTGAAGGTGGCTCAGGACCATGTTGTACATGGGGTTGCCATGAGTTGGGGCTGCTTCAATTGCAAATAGCAACAACATTATGAATAGATTTTATTATAAAAGGTGAGAGGGTCAGTGTCGAGCAAGCTTGGGAAAGTTGGATTAAGCTAAACCAGTCTAATGTTTTTACTTGTAGAACATTACAGAACCTTTAGTATCTTAATGCAGTGTGTTATAGCCTCTGAGAGAGAGAGAGACAGAACGAGAGCGATCTAGAGTGTGCAGCATTTCTCAAACTTAATTAGCATCTTTTGGGATTAGTATCACCTGGAATACTCCTTGGAAATGATCTTGTCATCATTGTAGCTTAATAGCAGAATTTTCCCTTTGGCATCTTCTGAAGGCTTTCTAAGAGAAGTTGGAAAAATACGTATGATTGGGGAGCTATTCCAACCCCCACAGGGTTTCATTAATACAATTTTATTAAATTGTGTATCTTTATCCACTTTCACCAAGCCTTAAGAGGACAATAGCTATTTTTATCAGAAAGGTTATGCATTTCCTTCTCAACCATACAAGTAAACACTTTCTCCCTTTTGGAATGAATGAAAGGAAGAACTGAATTTTCTCACTGTAAAGACAGTTGCTTCTTGTGTAGTCTACAGGGACTTCTGACTTTTTAACTTCTTTCCTGAGTGAGGGAAGTGTTGAGAATAGCTTTGGAGGATTCAGGCTCCTATTTTTAAAAAGTTTTTTAGTTCAAAACGCCTGTCATCCCTCATACATTTCCTGGGGTACCTGGAGACATGAGGATGGGGCCTGCTTTCCCACCTTTCTTCCACTTAATTCCCCCTTCCTGTACATGTTCACCTTTCATGCTCTCAGCCGTTCTTCTTTCTCTCTTTGCCACCTTCTTAGAAACCAGGACATTGTGACGTTGCAAGGATAGCTTTGTAACTCTACCGGTTGAACCCAGGAGATGGTATCTTGAGTCACTATTCCCACTTTGTTCGTCCCCCTAAAGAACACTGCCAGCTTTATTAATCCCTAGATTCCTCAAGTTAGAAGTAAAAGGAAAATTGCAGGGATACACCTTCAGAAATAGTACTTTTGTTTCCCTCTTCCTATTCAGGATTATTTACTGCTGCCACTACTCTAGCCCTGCTTTGGACGCTGGGTTCTTATAGCATTCTGTCTGCTTAATTCCTTGTTAGTTTAGTGAAGTCACAGCAGAAATGTTTAAACAATATTTTACTAAAGTACTTGGGAATAGCCAAGGGAAATAAATATCAAGCAATGTGGAGTCTGGCTTATAAAGTACAGTTTATCTCCTGTGTACACGCTGCCTTCCTCTACCTGGTGGTTGGCTTTCACATACACACACCTGCTGCCTCCCCATTGCAGGCTTTGGAGCTATGAGATTATAAGATTTTACTCAGGAAGCCAGTTGGTTTTCCCTGTAGCCAGCCATGTGGAGCCATTCTGTCAAAATGTCTGAGGTTAGAAAAGTGGGAGAAGATAACACTTAGGGGAAAGTAGCATCTCCAAAGCAGGGAGTAAACTAATTATTTTTTGAATACCTGTTATACACCAAGTGTTACGCTAGGCAATCTCAATACCCACAGCAACTCTATATAGTTTGTATTCATTCCCTGAGTAAAATGACTTACTCAAGGTCACATAGACACATTGAGTAAATGAACAAATCAAGATTCATACCCCTCTTTGGTTTCAAAGCCTTTATCTTTCCTGTGTTGTACTACATCCCTGATCAGAGCTAGCTGTATGAACTTCAGAGTTACCAGTGTTCAGTGATGATTCTTCTGCCATTACCTACATTGGGTATTTTCAAATGGATTGTTTGGAAATACTGTGTAGGTCCAAACATTTTAGGACTTGAAGAACATAAAGAAAAAATAGGAAAACTTTTGAGAGGTGGGCTTATCCCCTAAGGGCAATACACAGGATTTTATAAACACTGGTAACTTAGGCAGATCTATAGGATCCTGTTGAATAATGCTGTGGGACAAATATAGTAGTTTAAATTTTGTACCCTAATCTTCAAATTATGCTGGAAGATAATCTTGGAGAGACTGCTATCCATGAGTGAGTTGTTATTCCTTTTGGAGCACAACTCTCCCACTTCGCCTTTTCATTAAGTTTGCATTTAGCCATTAGGTAGGAGCTTCAAAAGAAAATCCAATCATGTATAATCTCCAGTTAATGGGCATCTATTGAGCGACTAGGTCACCAGAAAGAATAATTACACAGTGCCTCTTTGTGCGGTAAACACAAAAATCAAAAGCTAATGCATTCCCAAGGCATTCCAGATTGTTATTGGCTAACAGCATCCTCCTCTTCAGGGAAAAGGTTGGGGCACCCACCATGCTTGCTGAAGGAGATTGCAAAGGCATTCCAGAAAAACAAGGCTATCAAGGGAGGAAAGAGAAAGGCAGGGGGGCTTCCAAGGCTTTGTCAGTTCTAATTGCTGATGGTTGGGGTGGATTACTGAATAGCAGACATTCTAGTAAACATTTTGTGCAATCATCGGGAACTTAAGAGGGTCTCTGGGGCTTCTTGCCACAAGTTAAAGAATAACAATGGTGATTGAGGTAGACCTTCAGGCCCACTCTGGCAATTTAGCCTGTTTTCCCACAGTTTATGTGCAACCTTCATAAATAAAGATTTTATGCTTACTTTTGTCCAGCCACTAACTATGTTGATTTATGAAAGATGATCACAGCCCTCTTGACCCAAAATGGCATGTGTTAGCCAGAAGCCAAGTAGCTCGTGTGTTTCTGTTGATAGACTCTAGTTCGGGTTTTCAAAATTATATCTTGGTATAGTTATTTAGGATTTGCAAAACTTGGCATAATTCAAATAACCTGTTTTTCCCCCCTTAGAACACTTCAGTTATGGAGGATCAAAATGAAGATGAGTCCCCAAAGAAAAATACTCTTTGGCAGGTAGGAATGACGGCGCAAGATAAGATAGCAATTGAGTTAATATAGATAAGATGCTCCCTCAGCTGATGTCCTCAATGAGAACAAGAGCCAAGCATTTTTCTTTTCTTGTGTGCAGTTTTACTAGTTTTATAATCCACCCTAATTTATCTTCTTTTCCTTAGGGAAGTGTGGTTACAAATAGTAAAGAATAAAGCATTTTGGAGTTTTCTCCAAAATTTACAAAGATTCCGAAGTGGCTGTGGCCTGAAATGTTCTGTTTGTGACCATGGTCTAAGCCAAAGGTGGAGAATGGTGGCATCCTTTGTCACCAGAATGGCACCATGCCACATACCATTTTTTCCTGTTTTTGCCCCCCACCTCTGCCATTCTCGTCCATTAACTGTTGGTTTGCTTTTGCTTTGTAATCTCAATTTCCTTCTTTCCTGGCTCTATTTTAGTTTGCCAGCTTTCCTCTCCCTCTCTCCAGTTTTTTTTGGGAGGTGGGCATGTAAATTTTAATGATTTGGGGTTGTCATTAACCGTTATGGCACACAGTCTTTCCCTTCATGAAGACACAATTAAAGGCAAAGCAATCTAAACTGAAGAGAATAATGTAAAAAAAACTTCTTGGTTCATTTGATTTGAAACTGAAGAGGCAGGTTACTTACTTAGCAAGAATAAAGTGCCCCCAACAAATTTAAGGTGAAATGAAACAAAGCAAAACAATGCCAGGAGGTTCTTTCTAGGCCAGGTAGGTGGTTGGAAATAGAATGTTGAAAATGTGCTAAACAGCAGTGCATATACGGCTAGTTTTTTTTGAACATTTTGTTCAAAGTGAATTTTGTTCTTTTCTTCTTGTGTTTTTTTTTTACAATAGGATTCTCTTAATTTACTATTGATTTTTCAGTTTACAGTGGTTCACACTTCAGCTTTCAGTTTTTCTTTCGTCTGTCTTCCAGTCAAGTAGTTATTGGTTAACAAATGCTCTAGGGAGGCTAGGTGGTTAGGAACCCTTCTGTAAATGAAATAACAACTCCTTTGCTTATCAAATATGATAATGGGTGTAAAAGTGCTTTGTAAATTATGAAACAGTACACAAATGCAAGCTGTTACCGCTTGGTAATTTTTACTGGCTTTCTTTTTGAGTGTTTTAAACTTGTTATGAAAGCAATTATTTTGGCAAGTTATCGTGAAAAAATATAGAAAGAAAGGGAGAAGGAAAACATACAGTCTTCTTTCTCAAGATCATTGTGATGTACATTCTTTACTCTGTGTTGGTGTATTTCTCTTCACGCAAATTATTGTGATCACAATGCTATATAAAATCCTGAATCTTGCCTTTTGTTCCCTAATGTTAATTCATAAGCATGTACTCTTGTACTTACAATCTTACTTTATAAATCTAATTTTAATGGCTACATTATAGCACTGTGAGATGTGGTAATAATATAATTTGCTTTAGCAAGTTGCCTATAATTGGGCAGTTAAGAGTTATTTCTAATTTTTCTCTTTTGTAACGTGGTGAACATCCTTATGCTTAAGCAGCAGAGATGTACTTTATACCTTCCGATATTTACCACAGCAAAAAATTTCATTTCAGCTCCGACTGTGTTGAACTCTTTTAATTTTGGGGTCTGTTAGATATGAATGTGTTACTACAAGCAACATCGAATTCTGATTTCTATTCACTGCTACCCCCTGGTGGTACCTGGTGTCAGTGCGCTCTCCCTGACCCAAGATACACCAAAACCCATTGCTGTTGATTCAGACTCACAGTGAGCGACCCTATAGGAGGACAGAGTCACACTGTCCCATAGGGTTTCCAAGGCAGTAATCTTTACAGAAACAGATTGCCACATCTTTCTCCTGTGGAGTGGCTGGTGGGTTCGAACTGCTGACCTTTTGGTTAGCTACCAAGCACTTAACCACTGCACCACCAGGGCTTCTCTGGCCCAAGATACAAGGGGGGAAAAACACATGTAGATAATGGGGTGGTAAGATAAATAGGATGAGAGATAAATGCCTTCCTGCTTTGTACCTGTAAATGTGAACATAAGAACTTGCCTTGGACATGAAAGATTTTTATCAAGGAAGTCTATAGACTTCTTTGGATATTTATAAAGGATACCTTCTTTCTGGAATAGGTTCAGTTCACTTTAAGTTAAGGGACCTATTGATAACAAAAGCTCTTGGTTCTTTCTATGTAAGACTTCTGTGATAGGTTCCTAATGGAATTAATGGAAATTTATAGTGGAATTCTTCAGTTCTCAGAATTCTCCTATATGGTCTTCCTTCTGATATTATACACTAAAGGGCTATCAGAGGAGTGATGGATAGATGGCTTAGCAAATGTTTGATGGAAGTGTTGAGGCTGTTTTGTTTTTGAACAGGGAAGTTACTGAGCCTCATAGCATTAGTAGTAGTTGTGGCTTGATTTTTGATGCTGTTGTCCTGATGCAGTGTATGGAGTTTCAAAAAAATTATATATATATACTGATTTTATCCAAGGCCATGTAGGTGGATTTGGTGAGAAATGCATTATTAGTATGGAAATCTGTGGATTATCCACAATTGAACTACACCAAGATGAGGAACTTAAGGCATTCATGATTTACCTTGGGTCATTTTCAGAGAAAGTGATCAAAAGAAGAGAGAGAAAGCTTAAAATGTTTTGCCAGCAGTTTAGTCACACTGGGAAACTATGGAGGAGTTTGAAACTGTTAGGTAAAATGAAGCTTTTTGATGGAATTGCCTTCGGGTTTCAGCTCACAGGTTTTTTTTTTTTATCTTTTCTGCTAGATAGATCAGTGGTTCTTCAGAGTGTGGTCCCAACACCAGCAGCATCAGCATCAGCATCATCTGGGAGCTTGTTAGAAATGCATGTGGACAGAACCAGAACCTGTAGGGGTGGGGCCCAGCAGTCTGTGTTAACAAACCCTGTCTGTGATTCTGATGTACCTGCAAGATTGAGAACCATTGACTTAGACTGTATATAGCATTAACCTTCAATTTTGAGGAAACAAAACAATTAATAGTCAATCAGTTGCCACTTTGCCAAGTTTAGCATTTCCTCAAAGATGCTCATCTCCAGCATTAGCTATATAATAACAGCATAGTTCTGGAATAAGCGTTGGAGAATGATGACTTACGGCACCATTTAACTTCAGCATCTACTTTAGTGACTGATTTGAGGACATGGGCCCTGAATATATTTTTAATTACTACTGAACAAATTAATAAAGGAGTGAATTTGACTTTAGGGTAAAACTGGTATTTTGAGATTAAATACACAGGGTGAAAAATGTTTCTAATGAAATGTTACTTAGGTTTATTTCCCATGTCTAACTGTTTTTTTGTTTGTTTTTTCTAAAATAGATAAGTAATGGAACATCATCTGTGATCGTCTCCAGAAAGAGGCCATCAGAAGGAAACTATCAAAAAGAAAAAGACTTGTGTATTAAGTATTTTGACCAGTGGTCTGAATCAGATCAAGTGGAATTTGTGGAACATCTTATTTCACGAATGTGTCATTATCAGCATGGACATATTAACTCTTACCTGAAGCCCATGTTGCAGCGGGACTTTATTACTGCTTTACCAGGTAACTACATCTGTCTTTTAAAAGCTAAGTGGTGGAAGAATGCCCAGCTCAAGAGCCTAGGCGGAACTGAGTAGGTATTTGTAAAGTGAATGGCTGCGTACTGTGTGAGGCAGCATTTCTTTGTACACATATGACATTTTAATATGTGTTAATTGAGGAAGAATTAATAATTTAGCATCTACCTAGGAAATGTAGGCAGTTTCTGGGATTAATAGTGTTGAACACTGAATGCTTTTTATTTTGATGTAGTCTATATGCAGTCTGCACTTTGACTTTACATGTAATTAAAAAAAAATATTGGACTCTTTTTCCTGCAGTGCTTATGTTCAGGAAGTATCCCAAAGTTTAGGAAGTTCATTTATATCTGAAGTTCACACTTAAGGAAATGGCATAAATGCATTGGGGAAACCAGTAGCATGCCTTTATTACATTTCTTGAGGCTTGTTTTATATCCTCTCCCTCACCACTCTCTCCCAATCTCTTTCTCAAATACATAGGCACACTCACACACATACACTTTGTTTTTTGTTAAGTTTATTTTGATTTTTGATTACTTGTTAATTCTTTTTTTCCCCCTTCTCTCTCTGTCTCTCTGTCCGTCTTCTCTTTCTTTTCCTTCTCCCATCTCCTCCCTCCTCCTCCTCCTCCTTTTTAAATTTAAAGTTGACTGGGTTAGATAGCGAGTCCCTGTGTGGTGCCAGTGGTTAACACATGCTTGATTACTAACCAAAGAAATGTTGGAGGTTCAAGTTCATCCAGAGGTGCCTCAGGAGAAAACCCTGGTAATCTATTTCCGAAAAATCAGCCATTGAAAACCCTACGGAGCACAGTTTTACTCTGACACACATGGGGTTGCCGTGAGTTAAGGTCGACTCAGTGGCAGCTGGTTAGGTTAAATAGAGAGATTGTACTCCTGAAGAGAATGCTTGTCAGAACATTTGCCTCTGCTATGATCAGTGTGTAGTCTGGAGGTTACATTGCCATGCTAGGGTTGGCCTAGAAGTAGCCAGGGAAAACCAGTGCCATTCCCACCAGCCCTACCCCTTTTCAGAGCTATAGGTTGGCCCTTCAGAGTAGCTCTTTCCTTAGCTTGACTGCGGTTTGCGGTGCAGCAGGACTCCGTGTTCTTGGTACTACCACAGCAAATAGGACTTCACTCACGTCTCAGACCTGCAACCTGGGGCTGCAGACTGACACACCACCTTCTGATTTCTAATCCCCCTTCCAAAACTTCTAAGTTAACTTTCTACAACGGGAGTGGGGAAGGATATTTGAGAGTTAGCTTTGAAAATTTTGACTCTTCTGTTATTTTTGTGCTGAAATGTAGCACGACTTGCTCAGTATCTTCCATTAGTATCTCTAGAAAAGCAAAATGTGACCCCTCTCTTTCTAGAATCATAGTACTTAATTGCTGAAAGGGACCTTAGCCATCACTTAGTTGTGTTTCTTGTTGTACAGATTAGGAAGGTGAGGGTAAGAGAAATTAGGTGAAATGCCTAAGATCACACATCTTGGTCATTGTGGTGATGATGGGGTGGGCAGGGAGGAGGTGAGGTTGACTCAAAAGTTAGTGCAATGGCTAAAATCACTTATAGTTAAGATTACTCTGGAAAATCCCTGAAATTGGCCCTAAGCATAGAACACATGGCTTACACTCCAATTCAGTAATATTCACTTTTAATTATAAGAGAGAGAAGGAGAGATAGACAGACATGCTTTTAATTGTTTAAGAGAGAATTATAGGTGAATGTAAGTAAGAGGAGTGCACCTGTAATGCATCTCCTCTGTACATCGTTTGCCCAGAACCCAGAACCCAAATTTTCCAAGGCTTTCTATTGAATTAGGCTGCATCTCATGCCACAAAAAGACAGGATCATTTTTTTTTTAAGCCAGCAATTATACTTGTTCCTCATGAGTGCTTTTAACTAAATGAGACTATACCTCTTTTCCTACTGAAGCAAATCTGTTTATTGTTTCATTGTTTGCTTTCTACTCTTCTGGTTTTATTTTCCCCCCCATAATTTGCTTCTCAAACATTTTAGAGTGCCAGGGAACTCACTTTATATTAGAATATCCACGAGGTGGCACTGTTGAAGTTCTCTTGATTTGCAGAGTATAGATTAGAGGCAGCTCCTTCTCTTGGGGAGTGTACAGTCTTGGAGAAGAGACAGAACAGATGAACATGTGTTATGTATATAAATATGGTTAGTATAATTGCATACAATTCAGTTTTCATTACAGCGAATTTTAAGGCATTGTCCATATCTCTGTTAAAGTGGAATTTTGTGGTATTGAACATTACATGAAATGAATGGACCATTGGCTGGGACGTGGAAATATTTTTGTTAAAATGGTATTTGTTTTAACAGGATTTGATCTGAACATATATACATATGTCAGTGTATATCATACATATGAATCTAATAGCTGGGGACAAGCTGGCCAAGTTGATTGTGTTAGTGTCTAGTAGACCTGGATTAAACCTGGCATTAGTTCCTTAACACAGACCTTGCCTTAGGAACATTAGGGGAAAAACAGGTCTGTGTATAAGTTCATACTTCGATTTAACATTGTGTGGAGTGACTTTCTAATCATTGTTTAGTTTGGTGTTTAACTTTTACTGTAGATGATCTTGATTTTGAATTTTTACTCTGTTGAAATTAATAGTTAACCTGACTTCTTTTGATCGCAAAAGCCATTATTAATTCTATAAAAGTTGTCTATAGTTTTGCCTTTTTTAATGCTTACTCTGAATATTGTACCTGTCAGTGTAGGGAAAATGGAAAATGTTTGTGGTCTCTGGCTCCTTTTGGTTCAGTGGAAAAAGTGATAATTATGATATGCTTTTCTAAAAATCATAGTAAATGTTTAGTCTGCAATGTCAATTTCTGCAGGCTAAGTTTGTGGTTTGTAAGAATTGGTGTTAAAGGGAAAATGTATATGATTTAAAGTAGAGGCAGATCGTACTTCGAAAAGGATGATACACTTTGGCGGTCAGTTTGGTGAGGTATCTGAGCAATTAAGAGTTTTGAAGCATCCTGGCCATATATATTCATTTGTCTAATCTTCAAGTAAGGATGATAAACCATTATGACTGTAGATGTGACAGAGACTTATTAGATGGAGGGCTTCAGGCTGGATGCGGGGTCAAAGACCTAGCATGACTGTGTGGGATGGGCATGGGTGTTGGATGTAGACAGCCGCTAGGTTTGGATCCCAGCCCTTGCACTTAAGAGCTCTGTGACTCACTTTTTGGAACCTCAGTTTCTTGATCTGTGTGGGAATAATAGTAATACTTCATGGGGATATGGTTAAACACTTGGCTGCTAACTGAAAGGCTGGTGGTTCAAACCCACAAGCTGCTTTGCAGGAGAAAGATGTGGCAGTCTGCTTCCATAAAGATTACAGCTTTGGAAACCCTATGGGACAGTTCTACACTGTCCTGTAGGGTCACTGTGAATTGGAATTGACTGGTGGCAACAGGTTTGGTTTTGAGGGGATATTGTGAGGCTTAAAGACAGTGTATGTCATATGCCTGGCATCTAGTGGATACTACGCGGATGGCAGCTTTATTTATTTTTTCTTTTTAAAAAATTTTTTTTATTGTTGTAGTAAAATGAAGTTTACATTTCAAGTTAGTCTCCCGTACAGAATTTTTTTTTCTTCTTTTTTGTTTTTTTACTAACATTGTTATGAGACCCCAACCGCTCACCCCATTCTGCGACAGCACACTCCTCCTTTCCGCCCCTGATTCCCCATGAACGTTCAACCAGCTCCTAACTCTCTCTGCCTTCCCATCTCACCTCTGGAAAGAAGCTGCCCCTTTGGTCTCTTGTATCTACTTGACTAAGAGGCACATTCTTCGCAAGTATCACTTTATGTCGGATGGCAGCTTTTAAAAAAAAAAAAAAAAACAGAAACGCCCAGAGAGGCAGGAAACACCTGCTTCTCCAGAAGTAATAAGACTTATTGCTAGGAAGTTTTAATTATTCACCCACTAATTTCCAAACTGATTCATCCTGACATCATATAGGTGTGTGTACCACTTTGTTGTTTTGTTTCCTGGATGTTTTTTGGAAAGAGATTTTGGACTTTGTGACCTGAGCATCTTTTTACTTTGTTTCTGTCGGAATCCTTAGGTTAGTGTATTCCAAGTTAAATGCACCCAGTGACAGACTGTTCTGTCAGCAATTGAGTTGTTTTTCTTTGAAAAGGTTTCTAACTTTACATTTACAGCTAGAGCTGTGACTAGGAAGGGGGAAAGGCCGGCTGATGTGGGTGGGGAAGGAAGTTTCTTTGCAGCTGCTCTTTGAAATGCGTTTCTAAAATAATAAAAGTTTCTGTAATTGTATGATCTAAGCGGCTGTGTTAAAACTGGCTGTAGTCAAGGGCATTGAACTGACATTACACATTTGAGTTTCATTGTGATACAGTGTTATTTACATATTGAGCTTTGAAATTTGTGCCTTTTAATTGTTTTAATTTATTACTGAAATTTTTCCAGACCTTCATCTGGTGCCTATAATTAGCAACAGCAGCATTTCTTTAGCACTGTGTGTGCAGGATTCTGGCCTCATTTTCTGAAGCCGTAATGTCCTCTTGTTGCCTTGGGAAGGGGGGTGGTGGTGGGAGATGGGGGAGTCGTACCACGATAGAATAATGAGAGCCAGACGTTGGTACTTAAAGAAAATGCTTAGTTTTTTAACACCTCAAAGCATTTTTTTAGCCTGGGCAAATGGATCACCTTATTCAGTAATCTCTTTGTCCCGAATGGGCTTGAAACCAGAAAGTCACAGGGTCTCCATGGGTCCCTGGTGTAGCTACTCTAAGGTGCCCAAATAGAGGTTGTATGATTCCTATTCTTCTGAAAACATTTAAAGGGATAAGATATTAGACAGGGCTTAACGTTTTGCTAGGGGAGATGTGTAGCGTTTTCTCTGCAGAAAACAACAAAAAAGAGGAATACTGTTTAGCCGCCTTGACCTAAGGGGGCTTGGGGGAGAGGGTAGAGAACAGACTGACATTTATTGAGTACTTGTTATGTATCTCATTATCTTTATCATTGAGAAGTTACTGAAAACAAGTAGCAGAGTTACTGGGTACAGTTGTGCCCTGTGCAACTTGTACAGCTGCATTTGGTAGTCCTGCATGATAGTACCAGAGATGATTGCTAAGCAGACTTCATGGTTTTAAGAACAAAAGTGTATATTTGGGGGATGATTGGCTGTTAAATTTGATGTTGCACTCCAGCAGAATTCTTAAATGGATTAGCAAAAATTAATCAGCATCTGAAAGATTATGTAGAGTTGTATAAATCTGTTTCATGACTGTTGGGGTATATGGTTGCCCACTTATATTTTCCACCTCTGGGGTTTATTGGGAAGTTGCTTCCCCATTGATAGTGTGTGCTTGCCTGTATGACAGTTTGAAATGGAAAAAATAGGCAAGTGCTGCAAACTACTGTTTTTACAGGGTATTGCATGAGGTGGTGCTGAATCAGTGATTTTGGAATGAAAAATATGGATTTTGACGAAAAGTTTTTTGGGACACATGTATCCTGCTGGACTCGGGTAGAATTAGTGGGACACATACATCCCCCGGGATTCAGGGTAGGATTGGTGCGATGAGGCAAGAAAAAAATTCATAATACCTACCAAAAATTCAAGCACACCCAACAATTCAGTCTGCATTCCATTAATGAAAACACATGGTATCAATAAAAAAGTCAAAGGAGAAAATAAGTGAGTCTTGAAAGGGACAAACCCAGAAGGATGTATATAGAATGTTATAAGGTGCTTATCTTTGGGAGATGGGATTTAGGGATTAAAACATTTTTTGCTTTATGCATTTTATAATTTTTCTACAGTGAAAATGGATTTGTTGTTGTTATTTGATTTTGACTACTGGTGAACCCATGTGTGCAGAGTAGAACTGCTCCATAGGGTTTTTAAGGCTTTTTACCTTTCAGAAGCAGATTGCCAGGCTTTTCTTCCCAGGCACATGTAGATCGGTTCTAACCACTATCGGCTAGTAGTCAAGCGCTTAAACATTTGAGCCACCCAGGGACTCCATGTTGCAAATGGATTATGTATGTTCAAAAGGGACACAAAGCAGCTAGTGCCAACATGTAACCAAAAAATTGCAATACTAGCTTTACATAGTTAGCACCAGCAAGGGAACACAGCATAATCATAACCAAATTCACCTAATTTTCTTTTTGGATAAAGTTACCAGACTTGTAGTTCAGAAAAATGATGAAAAGATGGTCATGTCTCCACGGGGCATAGTTTCTCCAAATATCCTTGAGGACCGAATAGAGAGATGCAGGCTGGACGATAGTTCACCCAGATGGTTACCAAGCTTGTGGTTCAGTGTTGGTACCCTGTGAGTATTAATGAATGGATCAGTGATAGCCTGGAGGGAAATATCTAGTATCACGGGTGCTGTCCTTGGTTCTGACCCGTTTAACCTGTTTGCCAACAGCTTCGGATAAAGACTTTCTACATTTGCCCATTGTTCAGATCTGGTGTGGAATATCCAGTCTTTCAGATGACAGAATCAGAATTCTAGAGGCTGTCATGGATGGGTCAGATAAAACTTTGAAGGTGAATTATAATAAGGACAAATACAAACTGCACAAAGCTACCCTCACCTCCCCAACCAGCTGTAGAAATACAGAATTAGGGGGATTTGTTTTAGTAGATGTTTTTTGGGGAAAGGCCTAGGATTTTAAGTTGCTGCCACCTCGTGAGTTGGCTGTGATATGACTATTAGATGAAGGTAGTGCAGTCTTTGACTGCATTAACTGTAATATAATGACAAGTGGAAGAAAAAATAGTAGTTCCAGTGTAGTCTTTATTATCAGATCATAGTTTGGGGATTAGATCTAGTCCAGAGTAGGAGAATTAGTATATGAAGGGCTGGGAAACCATAATCAGCAGTGTAGCAGTAGTCATTTCTTGGAGTTGAATGAAACCTTAGATGTAAAGCATTTTTTATGCATCATCTCATTTTGATGTTTTCAAAATAGGGCAGGGTATTACCCCAGATGAGGAAGCTGAGGCTTTGAAAGTTTAATGATTTACCTACACCCTGGTGTTTTAACACCAAAGTTTAGTGCTACTATACTGTTCTACTATCTTGAAAAAGAGCACAGATATTAACCTTGCATAGTGCTTTATTGTCTTTAAAATTTTTTCATAAAATTGTTTGATTTGATTCTTATAGAGTATGAGAAAGGACAGTACTACTGATGATTACCATTTTATAAGATAGAACATCAAGATGCAGGGATGTTTCAGTATTTGCTTCATGTCATAGAACTAGGAAGTGGGGAAGCTAGGACTTGAAATTGGAATTTTCTGACAAAATGTACAGTGCTCTCTCCACTACACAGAATAGAACTGGGGATGAGCTTTATTTCTGGTAGCTACAGAGGACATGACTGGGATCACAGGACGGGCGTTTACAGGGACAACAGTGCTGACCATAGTGATCTTACCATCGTGAATGTCAGGCAGAGGCTGAATTTCAAGTGCTTATCTTTGAGAGGACCCTTGTATTACATGAAAGTTGAACCCAGTAACCTCTAAGGTTCTAGAATTTGTAGACATGTGGCTCTTGTTTTTGAGGATTTTTACCATCTATTCAGGAATAGAAAATGAATACCCACAGGAAGGATATGAAGAAAAGACTGACAAAAATATATCTAAGTACAACTGACTTTAATTCTTGGATTGTTGTTTAACTTTTCATGAGCTTTTAAAGATGTGTTAGTGTTTTACCTTTTTGGTCTCCTTAGCTCCCAGGAATTCATATAGGGCATGGGTTAATGGGATATGATTTGTTACAGGAAATAATGAATGAGAAGGGGAAAGAAAGATCACAAACTTTCAAGTGAGAGATCTGGTTCCATTGTTGGCTTTACCACTCAACAGTCGTGAAACCTTGAGTGCTTCTTTGTGCCTTGTCTGGAAAATTTGGAGATCTTGTAATCCCAAATCCATAGGGATTTTGTAAGAGTTACATGAAAGAAAGCCTTTTTTCATGATACCTGACAAATGTAGAACTGCCCATGGTCAACTTTTACACAGAGAACAGTTGCCATTAGTTGTTTTATGTTAAAAAATCCGAACTAAATAAAAATGTATTTGCTTATGTACTCATGCATTTGCATATCTGTAGATCTTCTGGTATTACTTAAAATATTTTACCTGGTTCAGGATTTCTTTATTCCTTTGATCTTTAAGGAAATGTTGGCTAACATATTTCCATCTACCCTTCCCATTCCTTCATTGCCTTTTCTATTTTGTAGAGCAAGGCTTAGATCACATAGCGGAAAACATTCTTTCCTACCTGGATGCCAGGTCTCTGTGTGCAGCAGAGCTGGTATGTAAAGAATGGCAGCGAGTGATCTCAGAAGGAATGCTTTGGAAGAAGCTAATTGAACGAATGGTACGCACTGATCCTCTATGGAAGGGACTTTCAGAAAGAAGAGGGTGGTAAGTACTTGGGTTGCTTGTGCCCTTGAAAAGTTCTGTTGACATAGGGTAGGATTGATTACCCAGAAAGGCAATTATACTTGCAAAACGTATTGGTCTATTTTAAACTAGTGGAAAAAGATGAGCACTCAAGACTTGGGGAAAAAAAAGTTAAAATTGTTAGAAATTTCTCCATTTTCCCTTTTAAGATGAATTTTTTTTTTTGTATTTATTAATTGTTAGAAAGTATTGTGTAGTTCGAATGGGTGGTTTGGCTTTTCAAAGCTATATATTTATGCTTTTCCTTTCATATTTTTCTTAGATAAGACAAAAGGAAATACGAGAAAGTCAAATAAAGCCATTTTGCTATTTGTTACTGCTCCTGCTTGAGGATATGGGGGGCATGGTGGTCAGTGGTTTTTTTTTTTTTTTAAGAGAAAAACAATTAGTTTAGAAGCACCTTTATATAGCAGTGCATATAACATGCATGGCACTGACCTTGCCCAGTTAGCACAGAGGAGAGAGCTACAGACAAGCACCTGGTGGTGGTGTGAGTGAGGGTTAGGGCTGTGCTTTCTTTATTGGAGGGAGTTTGATGAGTACTGTTAGATTTTTTTCACAAAGGCACATTAGCACTGTATACCTCTTTTTTATTAAACTGTATAGAATGAAAGTCTTAGATTAATAGTATTTTAGATTCACTCAGAAAAGAAAAGGCCAGGATCTCATTAGAGATCTGTGAATTGAAGTATATTTGCTCCTAACAAGTAAGTTTAGTTGTCAGAAACTCTGCTTTTGAACTCTTCAAGTTCAATGCAAGTCAAAAGACATGAAAGATACAATATCTTTGTAAGCACCATGTTTGAATAAAATTCACCCTTTTATGTGCAAAAATGTAATGTGTTTATTTTTATTTGCCAGGGATCAGTACCTGTTTAAAAACAGACCCACAGATGGCCCTCCCAATTCATTTTACAGGTCATTATACCCAAAGATTATCCAGGATATAGAGGTAATTTTATGACTTGTCTATTTTATGGGTTCTTTGTGTCTTGTTCTCAACTTTTTATGTTACCTTAGAGTATTCTTTTGTTCTAAAATCATGGAGCTGGTAATTTTTTTTTTAAGTTGCGCTCTTAGAACAAATGTGTCACAACCAATGTATAATCAGCACCTATTCTCCAGAGTAGATAATGCCTTTTTTGCAGAAAACAAACTGCCTTTTCTAAAAGATGAAGTGTGCCTGCAAGGCTGCCAGTTAATCAAAACCTTAATTCAAAATCAACTCTTACTTTAATAAGTTTTCTAAAATTCAAGGCTCAGTTTATCAGGTAAGCATAGTTTTATGTTTTGAGCCATCTCTAGAGAACTAAAGAAGTAACAATCTCAGTTTCCTCTGTAACTTACAGTTTTTCATAAAAATGACTCAAATATGATTCTAAGCAATAGTTAAATGGGTTTTATAGAGCAAATTATGCTCCTGGACTATTTTGGCATTTGAGTGTAACTTCACCAGACCAGTAAAACTCTGTAAACTTGAGGAGAAACATTGGAGATGTTTGATATTGTTCATGTGTTCTAATTAGTTCAATTTTATTATTTAGCCCCTTTCCTTGAACCAGGAAAGACATGCACAGGCATTTCTCATTAACTCTTTCACATGTGTTCTTGGCAGGTCTTAGTTACTTCACTGTTTCCTCTTGGGCAGAAAAATTTAACCTTAGCTAGGCAATGCTGTATCACCCATAAAGTTACACTCAGTTTCCCAAATGTGAAGTAATCCTCTCCCCCAGGTGATAGACATAAAAGTTATTATGCCAAAATTCATTAATGGAGAAACATGTGCTCTTTTGGAGTTATTTCTTTTTCCTTTCTTTTTTTTTAGGCAGATGTGAACTAATGGAATCCTTCCATTAATAGTAAATCTGAATGTGACTGGAATATCAGTATTTAAAACACAATCTTGTCTTGAGTATTCTGTTCTCTAAAATGAGCTATAAAGTAACCTTTCAGGGAGAATTAAATAATTTAAAACTTCTGCCAGACAAATCATAAACTTAAGGAATTAATTGATTCATTGATAGTTAAAACCTTAGAATAAATTGCCCCTGTAGTGTTAATAGCTGAGACATAGTGTTAACTTTAATCTTACATTGGTGTGTGTGTGTTTCAAGGAACAGTGGCTGTCTGGACTTTCTCTTACCCCTAGGTGGGGCATACTGAGACATTGCTTGTATGCATATCTTAGACACTACATTACCTTCTGTTTTTTCCCCACAACTATTCTTTACGAATCGTCTCCAATTTCCTTGAAAAATTTTATCAAATCTTTATTGTAAGAAGGACTATATTTTAAAGCTAATCATTAATAAACAGGAACTTTGGAAGAACTTTGATCAGGTTGAAGATTGGTGGTGACATAGATTATTTAATCCTCATGACTTCTATTATAATCAGCAGCACGAACTCATGTTCTGTGGCATGACAGTATGCGACACCACCTACTATAACCATTTCCTCAGGCTGAAATAATATTTTAAAGTTAGTAGAGGAGGCAGATTTGAGAGAAGACGGCTATGAGGAAAAACCCTGTTTGACAGAAAACCTCTACATCATGGTGGTCTACCCAGTGGTTCTTAATGTGTGGTTTCGGGAAACCCACTAGATGGCCACAAGAGTCTCCTCCAGATTTTTGTGGGCTAGATCTCTTAATGTAAGAGATGATGTTTATATTTTGGTATATTCATTAATAGTAATAATAATAAAAGTAATGTACCAAATGTAGAGCAGTTAACTTGTGCCAGAAACTTTGTTAAGCTCTTCATAATACATTTTCTCATTTAATACTCTGGATAAGACCTGAAAGATAGGTAATGTCCTTATTTAAACTGAGGCTCAAAAAAGCTAAATGACTTGGCCACGATCACACAGCTAGTGAGTAATGGAGTCTGTGATCACCGTTAGACTCTTCTGCAGTTAATAAAACTTTTTTGTAATATAGATCACGGGTACCTCATCAAAGTAGCAGAGTTCTTTACCTCTGTTTTGGGAATGTGTTTTGTTCTGTCAAGGGTAGACATGCTGTGAAGAGTTCATTCAGTAATTTATGGATCAAAAAAACTCCCAAGAGACTCACAGGCTCTACTCTAACCCATATGGCTGGTATGGAGTCCTCATAAGCAGAATATAATAATTACAGTACCGTCTTTTGAGCCTCTGAGGTATACCATGAACTATATTGGATGATTTACATCGATTATTGTATTTAATTCTTACAACAAGGTACATATTATTGTCTCCATCTGTAATACGGGGAAACTGAGACTAAGAGAAGTTTTAGAACTTGCCAGATTGTTAAGTAGAAGAGATAGAATTTTAACTGAGGTCTGTCTAGCTCTAGGCTTAGAGTTGTTGTTTGTCATTTTCTTAGTGGAAAAGTCAAGACCTTAGGAGAAAGGTATGTTGTTATATGTCTGCAGACATCTCAAGGTGGTCTTCCCATCTTTCTCCAATTGTGTGAGTACTCAATGTCCCTGACTGTTAGTTAAAAAGAGAGTATGAGTTAAGATAAGATTCGTTGGCCCTGTTTCAGTCCAGTTACAGGAAAGGTAGTACTTTAAAGGGCTATAAACACATTGCCAAAAGATAAATTACAGCATGAATGTCAAGTGGCTGTATGTGTCTCCCCTCCCTAGTTGCCCATGCACAGCTGCAGAGTCTCCATGTTTTTTTTCCTTAATGCTTTGCAAGGTTGCTTGTTCACAACATCTTTTCCTTTCTTTCCTTCTTGCTCTACCTTGACAGCTCTGGTTCATGTGCTGGCTCTTGTCATCCCAGATGTGGCTCTGACAAGCAGAAAGGAAGTGTCCATCTCTGAACTTGCCCTTGCATATTGACCCACCAGAAATTAGCCAATTTTTAAGGAAAAAGTAGAGAACCCAACTTTGTTTGGCCAACTCCTGTTGTTCAGGAGATGAGGATGGATATGAGAAATGAAGGCTGGGAAGAATAAATAAGAATTGCTAACTTTCTGCAAAGCTTCATCTCTCATGGTTGTTCTTGCCACACGTAGAGAGATTGAGTTTACAGAGCCTCTGAACTGAGGGGGAGATTCCTGGAAAACCTGAAACCCATTTCTTAAAGAAGCAGGCATATTCTTCTTTGCTATCTTGATTCTTAGCTACCATTATTGTTAATGGTGAGCTTACTGCTAGGTACTTTGCTACAGTCATTTAATTTAATCCTCAGATTGTCAAAACTGACATTCTTACTCCAAAATCTGTGCACTTTCACTCTATCCTGTCCCCAGCTGCCCTTCAACAGAGAGATGGGAGTTATTGGAACAGACTTAACCAGTCAGAGTCCTGAAGTCCTGAGCGTGGATTATTCTCTCTTGCTGTTTCAGAGTAGTGGCAAGCTACTTTGTGTGATTTGCCTTTTTCCTCTTTTTATTCACTGGACTTAAGCCTTTGAAGTGCTCTCCTTGGAATAGACCACTGGTAAAATGATGGTGTGTTGTATCACACCTTTTAATGCACCATTTTATTCAGGGAAAGTGGGGAGCTTTTTTGTGGTTTGCAAACTTGATATTAACATTGTCCTGACCAGAAAATGCTGAAACTTGCCCACCCACCCAGTTGTGTTTAGGCTTCTAAAAATAATGTTATTTCTCCATAGTCAGACATCTGTTTTCACTCTATTGCCAATTTAAATGCTGCTGTATACTCTGTGTATAATGGCTACTTTCCCAGTATTTTGAAAATTTGCGCAGGGTAAGGGGATTTTACAAGTTCTCAAAAACATGAAATATTCCTGTACAGTAGCCACACCACATGATGTCTAAGTGAAATGGCAGGTATCCACATAATTACAGAGGTGCACCTGTGTGTGACCTGTATCCTGCTGCTGAAGTTAAGATAATAGCTAAATTCCATTTGAAGGCTGAGCCCCTTCCTGGGAATGTTTAGGGTAGACTCAGGCTATCAGCATTAAACATCAGCCTAGACTAAGACAACAACAATTTCTGGCAAGTTGGTGAGAGGAATTTTTTTTTTATATGGGGAGGGGGAGTCACAGCCCACTCTTTTTGGTCAGTGTTCTCAACAAACAAGGAGGGACATTACTGCTCGCATTTGTATGTACTATGGTGAGCACTCTACATATGTCATCTCATTTAGTCTTCATAAAATATTTATTTTTGGAAAGGGGTAGCTATTATTTCCATCTTTATAGAGTAGGAAGCTGCAGCTCAGACAGTGTAAGTCATTTGCCAGAGCTGCTAATTGACCTAGGTACTTGCCACCACAGTGGTCTGCCTTCCATTTTTAGGTCAAGTTTTTCTAAAAAAAGACCTGGCTTGCAAGCATTCAAGTAAGAGTTGAGGTTGTTAAACATGGTGGTAGTTTCTTGGGCAGGCAGAGTCAGCAGGAAGTACTGCTTTTTCTTGTGGGTGGCCTTGGGATTGAGAAGAGTGAAATCTCAGGAGAAGCATGGGGTTGGTGTGCAGCAAAGCGATTCACTCCCTGGTCATCGGGTTCAGTGTAGCTTTCATGGCATTTAAAAACAAGCTACACTTTCTTGGGATTCAGGAACCTAATGTATTTTTTAAAACAGTCTTAAGTGGAACTTCCTAAAATGACTCTGCAAGAATAATTTAGCAGACTTTTTTCTTTTAAAATTTGGAAATGTGCTTTAGAAAATTATGATCTTTCTAAGTGGTGAGAAGCTAAGCCTCATCCTGCTAACTTGCATTCAACTTGGAATGGAATGATAGTCTGAAGTCTAGTGGAGCTTTTGAGAGGTCCTGTTCTCTAGCTCCTGTTTGAGGATTGGGAATAGAAGGTATGTCTCAGCCTTCCGTGTCACATGGTGGTTGTCTGTCAAAGATCTCAGGGGCTGATGTACCCCAGGCCGACAGTGTGGCCATCCCAGCCCCCTTTTCCTGTAGTGCTCTCTGCCGTGGTTTCAGGGCTTTATATGCAGGCTCTCTACAGTAAGAGATTGTAACCATGT